GGGGGAGCGCTCTTGGGTGGGGGGCGAGTCGCTGAGGGGAGCCGCCATTGCCTGAAGGGGTGAGGCGCTGAGGGGATCGCCACTCTGTGCGGGGCGAGAGGCTGAGGGGAGCGGCCATTGCCTGAGGGGGTGAGGCGCTGAGGGGATCGCTGCTCCGTGAGGGATGAGAAGGTGAAGGGAGCGGCCCCGGGGGAGGAGCGGAGGTGAGGCGCTCACTGTGCGGGGCGAGGTGCTGAGGGGGGCGGCCCCGGGGCGGGGGGGAGCGGAGGACCGCGCTCCGGCTGTCCGGCACCCAGGCCGCTGGGGACCCCCCTGCCCCCGCCCTGCCCCCGCCATGGGGGGGTAACGGGACCCGCCTCGCCTCAGCCCTGCGGAGCCCCCCCGCCCTCCGCGCCATGGGGTCCCCGGCGGGCGCCTCGGCGGCGGCGGCCACCGACTCGGCCCAGTGGCTGTCGGTGAAGGAGGAGACCATCTTCCTGCACGACGGGCTGATCCGGGTCACCGACCTGGCCGAGCTGCCCAGCGAGATCATCGGGGTGGCCGAGCCCGGCGACACCGAGCTGGAGGTGAGCTGGGCCCGCGGCCCCCCGGGCTGAGGGGAGGGACGAGGGTAGGGGCGAGGGGGTGGTGAGGAGGGTGCCCTCGGGGGAGGAGGGACAGTGGCAGCGGGGGCCTGAGGCGAGGAGGAGGATGGTGGTACGGTGGGGGGGACGCAGGGAGAATGACTAGAGGAGGATGGGAGGGCCGGGATGCAGAATGGTGGATGCGGATGCAGGGTGAAAAGATTTGGGGGTATGGAACCAACTGGTATTGAGGCAGTCTACTTGTTTTAAGTCAATCGAATTTATTTCAAATAACGGTGAAAGTGGAGCTGGGCAGGGGGTTGGTGAGGCGCTAGTGAAGATGGAGGATGAAGTATTGATGCTACCTCCTTGTTTTGAATCAGTAGGGTTAGGAAATCCGAGCCACGCTTGTGTATTTCAAGGTGGCCTTTGGTTCATTTTTTTTTATTTATGGTTTTGTATATTTTTGCTGTTACTTCTGGATGGTTTGCAATTAATCAGCTTTACAATAAGATGCTTAGGGTACTGGGGTGTCCGGGTGTTGTATTTAGGCTGTTGACAGTGATCATTATTAAAGAGCCAGGGGGGGCAGATGAGCTTTTCATTCCAGCTTTTTACCTTTCCAAAACTGCTGGTGGTTTTGACTGCAGGCAGATGGTACAGCTGTTTTATGAGAAGACAGTGAAGGACTGAATGTCACGGATTGTAGGTTGCATCTATTTTGTAGACTGCTTTTTTTTTTTTCCTTTTTTTTTTTACCTTTTGCTTCACACCCTCTGGCATCCTCATTACATAGGTAAATCTGGAGGTATGGATTTTAAGGGACATACCTGGTTGCTCGCAAGTCCTTTGGGAAAAGGCTCCCTGAGAGGTGACAGGATTCCTTTGAGGGGGTGATGGAGGGGCTGACGGGGAGGGGAAGGGAGAAAGGGAGGTCGTTCTGGAAGGAGACGGAGGGGCAGACAAAAAAGGGGTGTCCAGAGGTGTGAGGAGGGGAGAAATTCCCTGTGGGGAACGTGAGGCACTGAGAGGGACCAGTCCTAAGGGGAAAAGGGCAGCTTTAGAGGGGTCCTGACTGGCCAAGTAGGTGAGGCTGAAGAGCAAAACTCTGAGGGGAACGGGCTCACGCTGGTCGTTCCCCTGGCGAACCCTCACCCTGGGGCTGAGGGAGCAGCTCTCAGGTGAGGGGCCTTTGGGTGAAGGGAGGTGAGGGGCTGCAGGAAGCGGCCATTGCGTGAGGGAGCGGTGCGCTGAGGCGATCGCTTCTGGGCGCGGGTCGAGATGCTGAGGGGATCGCTCTTGGGTGCGGGGCGAGTCGCTGAGGGGAGCCGCCATTGCCTGAAGGGGTGAGGCGCTGAGGGGATCGCCACTCTGTGCGGGGCGAGAGGCTGAGGGGAGCGGCCATTGCCTGAGGGGGTGAGGCGCTGAGGGGATCGCTGCTCCGTGAGGGATGAGAAGGTGAAGGGAGCGGCCCCGGGGGAGGAGCGGAGGTGAGGCGCTCACTGTGCGGGGCGAGGTGCTGAGGGGGGCGGCCCCGGGGCGGGGGGGAGCGGAGG